ATAGAGCTACCCTATGACCCAGTAATTGAAAATCTGGGTATTTACCCTAAAGATACAAACATAGTGATCCAAAGGGGCACGTGCACCTGAATGTTTATAGCAGCAATGTCCACAACAGCCAAACTATGGAAAGAACCTAGATGTCCATCAACAGATGAATGGATAAAGAAGAGGTGGTGTATATATATATACAATGGAATACTATGCAGCCATCAAAAAAATTAAATCTTGCCATTTGCAATGACGTGGATTGAACTAGATATGCTTAGCATATAGTATTATGTATTAGTATTATGCTTAGCAAAATAAATCAATCAGAGAAAGACAACTATCATATGATCTCCCTGATATGAGGAAGTGGAGATGCAACGTGGGGGGTCTGGGGGGTAGGAATAGAATAAATGAAACAAGATGGGATCGGGAGGGAGACAAACCATAAGAGACTCTTAAATCTCACAAAACAAACTGAGGGTTGCTGGGGGGAGGGGGTTAGGGAGAGGGTGGTGGGTTATGGACATTGGGGAAGGTATGTGCTATGGTGAGTGCTGTGAAGTGTGTAAACCTGGCAATTCACAGACCTGTACCCCTGGGGCTAATAAGACATTATATGTTTACAAAAAAATTTTTTGAATTATTAAAAAAATATTTTCATATAGATTATCTAGGGTTTCTCTCACTTGAACTCACAATACCCTCGAGAGAAGGTATTAAATTAGTATCAAATCCTAAGCCTCCACTCTCAACTTTACTTTAAAAAGCATATAACTAAAGTGTGAAGGTTGAACGATCATCCCCTGATTTTCACTCTAGTGCTCTATCACTTGTAGCTTATACAGAGCCACATTTTTAAGGACAACTCACTCTTTTTTTTTTTTTTAAGATTTTTATTTATTTATTCGACAGAGAGAGATCACAAGGAGGCAGAGAGGCAGGCAGAGAGAGAGAGGAGGAAGCAGGCTCCCCGCCAAGGAGAGAGCCTGATGCAGGGCTCGATCCCAGGACCCTGGGATCATGACCTGAGCAGAAGGCAGAGGCTTTAACCCTCTGAGCCACCCAGGCGCCCCTGGACAACTCACTCTTCTTCCCTTCCATATTTGGACGATAACCATACCTACTAGTAAACATATATGCTGTGAAAATACGTTGATCACAGCATTAATAAAGTCTATGTTTCTGTCTATTCTTCTGACCATGATTTGGATGGTTATTATTACCAAATTATATTTGAAAACTAATACTTAGTATACAACCATAGAAGGAGCTATAATTTTTAAGAGATTTAAAACTAGCTTAACCTTCCTGTCAAACATTCATTCAATAAATAAATAAAATTTACTAAAGACTCATCAGGTACTTCAGCATCCTGGTTCTGAAGACACAACAGTAGAGTCACTATCCTTGAACTCCTAGGAGCTTTAAGGTTTACTAAGGAACAGCCCAACCAACAGTAATCAAATACAATGTGCTAGAAGTGAAAACAGAAGAACAGAGAACAGTGTGAGCGCTATAGGACTGAGGGGCTAGTTCTGTCAATAGGGGGATAAAGCGTTCTTGGTGGTGCTGATAATCTACAAAGGCAGAGAAATATTAAGAAAGACCTCAGACACTGCCTACAAGCAATGTCAGGGATCTTAATACAAAAACTCCTGTGGGTCATTTACTGTTGGGACTATAGCACAATTCCCTAATGAAGTTAAGGTTTCTCCTTGTAATACTCATAAACTGGTAAAAAGCTAGCTTCAGGGGTGCCTGGGTGGCTCAGGTGGTTAAGCACTGGACCCTTGATTTTGCCTGGGGTCATGATGTCAGGGTTGTGGGATCAAGCCCCAAGCCTCCCACCCTGCGCTCAAGGGTACAGTCTCTCCCTCTCCTCCTACCCTAGCTCTCTCTCTAAAATAAATAAATGAAGCCTTAATTTAAAAAAAAAAAAAAAAGGCAAGTTAGTTTCAGAAATGGCTTCCTAGCTTCAAATCACTTGTTTGTGTATGAATTACACATAATGTTAAAGCTCTTTTTCACACTCAACTTTAATAGCAATTTAGTCACCAATTCCTGCTGCTAATTTCATTAGTGGTCTAAGCTACTGCTTTCAGAGTTCCCTAAAATTGGGGAAATTGTGAAGTAAAACTGCAGACTCATTCACAACCTCTTTCATACTGACATTTTCCCCTCTAGTACTTAATGCTCTTTAGCTGGTTTTTCTCTTCCCTACTTTGGTCTCACCCAGACAGGACTGGTTCGGACTTCCAGGGCTTTTAAAAAATGAGGCTTATTTGCTGGAATGTCACCTGGCCAATGAAGCAACACTGCTTATGTTTTTCTCTCCTCTAGAGATCAGAGCGCCTTACTCTGGAGCAAACTGATGGATGAAACTGTATTTATTTTTGGTAGCATGCATGGCTACCTAAACATACCAGTAGACAGGACAATAGCACAAAATGCTAAAACTGTAAATCCAGGATAGAGGTCTTGTTTATTACTTAGGGAAAGCAAGGCCAATTTTTAAAATTATGGTTTTTTGGCAAGGAGCATCAATCGGTGGTGGGTTTTTCTATTTTGAACTTACTATAAAAATGTTTTGTTAAATTAATATTACACTAGGATTTTAACCTTTTGTTCCCCTTAACAAAATCAGTTTATTGTAGAGAATTTGGATGATACAGAAAACCAAAAACAAATCAGTCACATCCACTACTCAAAGATAAAGAATTCCATCTTCCTCACTTTTCAGCCCACTAACGGGATTATTTTATTATATTGGCTAGAAAACTACAAGGTCTAACAGAGAACATGACTTTTCAGATTTTAAAAAAGTGTAATTTAAATTTTAAAAATCAAATTGGTAACTTCTGTAAGGCCTTTCAATTTAAAAGAACCAGGGGACTTTGAGTTTGCAGTATAAATAAAAGAGTTTAACCCCAAACTGGAAAACACTCTTCCCTAAATTAAAGCACATTGTTTAGGGTCAAAACATTGGTTATACATTACATGTGACGTGGGAGTACACTGGGTTGGGCAAGAACCTAAGCAAAATAATTTCTGTATTTTCACAAAACACTATTCATCAAAATCTGAAGTAGTCACTTGGAGTTACACAAATAGGGAAGGCTAAGAAGGAATATAAGTGCTACTTAGTATAAATTTACCCACTGGTCAAGAAATTGATTGGGAACAGCAATTAGGTAGGATTTCAGGAGAAAGGATGAAAGAGAATGTCAAAGGCAGAAAATATAAAGTAAGTGATATCTTGACTTAACCTTCTTACCTCTAAGTTTAAGGTCAAATACATTTGGTTTCATTTTATTTCCAGCCCAATCAGTTTCTGAAGAATTACTTCCCTGTCGGGGAAACCCAGTCAGTTTTCCATAAGCTACTCTGGGTCTCCTGCAGAGCACGAAACCGCAACACCATCATCTTTCAACGCCTCCCCATTCAATTGAGACTGGCGCATTACCAACACCTCTTGTTTTGAAGCTAGTACATCTTTATTCTTTCAAATGTTTTCTCCCTTCCTGCATCATAAAATCAGAGAAAGGTAAAAGGCCTGCTTTTACCCTTCCAAGGCCAACCAAATTATGTGAATACCTACAGAACGTCTCATACAGGGCTGTCAGATTAAAAACTCTGAATTATTGAGAAAGCACATTCGGAGCAAGCTTTACAGTGACTCCGCAGTGAGGCCACATCAGTGACATTCTCTCCCAAGCCCGTTTCACCGGAGACGCCTCTGCCTCCAGGGTTTTTCCTACCTCCCAGCTTCCCAGCCCAAGGCTGAAGATAAAGACGGAGCAGGGCCTCTGCAAAAGAATGGGCTTTGAGGAATAAGACCCGGAGACTACTGCGGACCCCGAGAAAGGGCTGAACCAAACCCATTATCCGAAGCCCCAAAGACTCCGAATAGGGAGCCATAATGGCCGCACTCACCCCCAACCCCGGGAAAGGTGGACGTCTCACCCCTAAGTGGCAGGGGCAACCACAGTGGGGGAAGCGAGGGTCAGGAAAACTGGAGAAAAGAGCTCCTAGCCAGTGCAGGATGACAGCGAGGAGAAAGCCCAGGACAACGGAGGCTGGCCGTTCACACTTTCTCTTCTCTTCCTCTTCCCACCCCTTCTCCTCTTCCCACCAGTCGTCGGTTACCGGTCGCCGCTCACCTGCCGGGTCGCGAGGTGCAGGAACAGTACCGATCACGGACCAGAGGCTCTGTCACTGCGGGAGGGGAAGTCTTCAGCTGCAGAGGGGGGCGGGCCCAGATATTCACGTGACCTCGAGCTCCGCCCTGCCGCCCCCAGGCAGGCGTGCTGCATTTCGGGGACCTGTATTTTTGCGAATCGTTTGACCACTTATTTTCTTGCGATAAAACCAGAGAAAAAACAAAAAATTCCCCAAAGATTGTGTCGTAAAGTGTAATGTAGAGGGCGTGCGTGAAATGGGTTAAAGTGCATTGCTAAGGAAGTGACGTTTATGCTATGATCTAGGGACCGGAAATGGCGACGGCATTCTGTACCACAGTTGCCCGCCGCTGAAATCCCAGGCTTAAACCCAGGCAGTCACGTGACCTCAAAGCTTGGCTCGTGCTGGACGGAAGCCAAGTTATCCGGCCGATTGTTAATTACGTTAGTCTTCAAAACATCTCATTTGTTTGAGTCTTCCACAGATTTCTTTTACATTTAAGAACCATTATAAAATCCTATTAGGAGACAGCGTTTGAAGGTCATTCCGGAGACTACCAACTGGAAGAACAGGACCGGGCCGGGGAAGATTGATCTTGCTAAAATTGGAGAAGAGAGGGAGGGGTGGAAAAATCCGGATTTTACCGCCAGGGCCTACCGGGCAAGCCCCACGAGTAGTGTCGTAAGGGATGGGAGGAGAAAAGATGACGCCAGAGGCCACAGCCCAGTAGGAAAATGGAGGTCCTGAAATGGAGGGGGAAGGGTGCGCGGAGGCCAGCAGTGCGGCTGCGCGCAAGGCGGCCGGCGCGCCGGCGCGCAGAGGGGGCGGGGTGAAAGGTCAGAGCGCGGCGGCGGGTCTGGCTGGCGGCGGCGGCGGGCGAGAGTGGATAGCCCGGTGTGCACGTGTGGAGAAGCGGCGGCACAGCGCGGCGGCGGGAGACACCCCCGCCCCCTCCGGAGACGCAGGGCTGCGATTGACTCTCGCGGCCTCCGTCACCCGCTCAGCTCCCTTCCCTAGGCGGGGAGGCCGGCTTGTGGGGGTTGAGTGGCCCGAGCTGAGGGCGCGGAGAGCTCAGGGCGGAGACGACAACGGCGTTGATACCGGTGGTAACAACGGCCTCAGCAGGCGGGGAAGATGAAAGGGTGAGGAAGGGCAGCCGGGCAGGGCCGGGCCGGCGGGGTAGAGGGGCTGCAAAGACCGGCAGAGACTCCGGGCGAAGACCCGACGGAGGGAGATTTCTGGGCTTCTCTCTGCTCAGCGGAGGGGGCGGATGCTTGGCGCGGGGCTGTTGGCGGGCTGAAGGGCCAGCAGAGGCAAGACCTCCGGAACCCAGGATTTCGACCCGAGGATGAGTGTGGGTTGAACGGAGACCAGCAGCCGAGAGGGCAACAGGGAAAAGCTCTTGTGAGGCGCCTTGGGCCTCCCACCCGGGGGCGGACGGCTGAGCCACCCCCGGCCCGCCACTCCAAGTGTAGTAGTCTGGTTGTCCTCTTCAGATCCAGTCAGCCCTGGGACCCGCGGTCTTTGACACCTTTCAGTCTTATTCACACTTGGGAGCTGTGCAGAACCTTCTGGAGGGAGAAGGAATTGGAATAAAGAGCATGGAGATGAGTATTAAGAGCTAGTGACTCAACTGGATTTGGGTTGGGTCAGAGCGAGTGGAGGAGGGGGAGAGAGCGTGAGCTCTTGTATTCTCGGGGTGCCAAAATGTTTAAGGAAGTATTGCCGATCAGTAGGTGGAGCTATTGCTTCAGTAGTTTGCTGTTGCCCCTGTGCTTGGTGGTGGGGGGAGCTTGGGGGGCGGTCCTTGGATACTGCAGCGAAGCTTTTTTGAGGTGATTAGCAAAATTAATATTTTTCAGTTTTCTTTTGAATAAAATTAGGGATTATTTTGGCTCAGCTATTTTCCATTTGGATATCACTTCACTATTAAATTACATACTATTAAAATATTAACGACATAACACGGTGTTTTAAAATATTTCCTAAATTAGCTGTTTTGGAGCTCTCCTTTTATCAATGTTAAAAGCTTTCTGAGATGCCTGGATTTTTTTGTATTATAGCAAGTCAGTTAATATATGTTGAGTTAGTGAAGTCTTTCAAACTGTTCAGCCTTCTCAGGATGAAATAAAAGTCAGTCTTCGAAAAATCCCATGCTGCGTGAAACAAGGCTCTCGGTGTGTATATGTGATTGGGGTCGAAGAGGTCCAAGAAGTCCAAGAAGGGGGTTAATTGACCTTGGGTCTGTACATGGTTCCTCACTCCGATGTTGCTTTAAACACTGGAAATTAATTCTAATGTTGAATTAATTGTTGGTTTTTCCATTAAAGTTCAGAAATGATGAAATTTTCATAGTACCTTCATATTAAGCATCAAGTTCTAAAGAGTTCCAATCAGGATACTAATTGGGTATGGAAACTATTTGCAGCGCTTGAATCGTGATCTGTGAAGTTTGGCTGTTTTATATATGATCCAGTATAATTTAGTGAGGTTTTTCTTCCTTTTTCCCCCCTTTCTCTTACTCGTTTTTATTACTTTTTTTTTTTTGTAACATTTTATTTATTTGACAGCAGGAGCAGGGGGAAGAGGGAGAAGCAGACTCCCTGCGAAGCAGGGAACCCTAGGGGGCTGAATCCCAAGAGGACCATGACCCCAGTGGAAGGCAGACTCTTAACTGACTGAGCACTCTTCGTTTTTTTTTCTTATCTTTTATTCTCAGTACACAATACTTCTCATCTTGTTCTGTTAGAGTACTAAAAATGAGGCTGAATAGTTCCCACAGTTGAGACTGCATGGATTTATAAAGGAAGGTTTCCAAGAGAATTTCTATTCTGGGTGTTTAGATCCAAAATCTTTGGTCTAGCTCAGTCTTGATAGGGTGTAATGTTCTTTCTAATGCCTAACTTGGCAATAGAAATGGGGTCAAACAGTGGTATTATTCACAGTCTACCTTCAGTTACCTTGAGTGTTCAAGGTAGTTTTTTTTTTAACTTAAAAGGGCGATTTATGTGTAATAACATGATGGTGGCAAATCCCCAGAAATGAGTAACTGGCCAAATTTAGAGAAAATTTATAGTTACTGAATTTGTACTGCCAGCCAGCAGCTAGCCCCCAAATGAAGAGTCTTTAAGTGTAGTTCCTATCACTATGATTGGAAACTTAAAGTTGTGTTCCTAATGATAAACTTTTAAGATGATTTCACAGGAATAGTCCCTTTAACTTCCCAGGTGAATAACTACCAGGTAAGATGGGACTTTAAAATTTTTTACATTTCTAAATCTTGTATTTAAGACACAGAAAAAATGAAGACAATAGACATTTAAAAGATTCTAAGCTCCTTTAGTTCAAAGAATTGTATCACCATGGACAATGTAGTTAGTGTTATAGTCCTGACTCTTGATATGGAAAGGCCTATGAAAATGAAACCATGGTCCTGATTATGTATTTTTGTATGAAATTTTATTTGCTAAGAGTTTTATTGTATATTGAGCTAACTGAGCTGTAAGTTGAAATATCTAAAATTGGAAACCTGAAGAATTTCTAACTCTAATCTACTATTTAAATATTTTATGTCATCTGTATTGCCTATCATTTTCAAACTTTTTTTTTAATTTTTTTTTAAGATTTTATTTATTTATTTGATAGAGATCACAAGTAGGCAGAGAGGCAGGCAGAGAGAGAGAGGAGGAAGCAGGCTCCCTGCTGAGCAGAGAGCCCGTGTGGGGCTCAATCCCAGGACTCTGAGATCATGACCTGAGCCGAAGGCAGAGGCTTTAACCCACTGAGCCACCCAGGCGCCCCCATTTTCAAACTTTTAAAACTTAATATTTTATCTGATTTTTCTTCATACTTATAGTTTGTTTTTATTAGTAGTAGCAGTAGGACATTCCATTGTATTGGCATGTATTTTTGCCTTTTCTCCAAAGTAGATAAATTTCCAGTTTTTAATTATTGCATGTATTTATATACATGGTCTAGAAACTTGAGGGTATATTACAAGATGTTATTCCTTTGTACTGAAGCTGCTTATTTTTATGGACCCAGGGATGTAGGTTGAATTTGTGGATGGCAGGCTGATAATTTTAATCTATTATTACTCTCTAGGGAAGATGATATTCAAGCAAGAAGTTACAGCCATGACTGAGATGGCAATATAACTAGTCAGTATAATAGAAAGTAAAACTGAATCCATTTACCTTTGAATTTTAGCAAAGAGGTATAAATTAGTTCTAATAAAAATGTGTTTGGGGCGCCTGGGCGGCTCAGTCTGTTGAGCTTTTGGCTCTGGAGCTCAGCTTGGGTCTTGATCTCCTGGTGGGGAGTTTGGCACCGTATTGGGATCTACGCACTGGGGAGGAGTTTACTTCAAAAAAAAAAAAAAGTCTTTAACAAGGTATGAATACATGCAAAGTAAAGATAGGGAAGTAGGTAAGAATGGTATAATACAATTTATAGAACAGTGTAGTTCTCAAAGTAGAAGATTCTGCTGTCCAAACAATCTATGTTGAAGTACAGTTACCTCTGACAGCATACGGACTGGGAAGCATAAGAGAGTTTTCTGAAGTGCTAGAAATATTCTCTGTCTTTACTTTGGATATTAATTGCATAGATATATACATATGTTAAAAAGTCAATGAGCTGTGAAAAAGATTTGTGCTCTTTACCATACAAATTTACATACTTAAGTAAAACAGATTTATTTTTTAAGGTTGTATTGCTCTTTTTGTAGGGGGACAGGCCGGGAGGCTGAAGGAGAATTCAGGAACTTTTATAAACCTCCAATTCATACTCTTGCTTCTGTGAAGCCAATAAATTTATGGGATGTGGATTGAGATACTGTATTTTAAAATACTTTGTAATATTCCCTTGCTTTGTCGAGATGAATTCGCATAAAATACAACCTACTTGTGCCACAGTTTCTTTAGAAAATCAATATAATGGTGTAACCAATATAAGAGAGAAGTAAAAGTAAACTATAATAAGGTATTTATTTCAATATGTAAGTGATCAGGTACAACTATACCATAAATCATAAGATCTGATGTTTGCATCTGTCTGTAAATAAAATCATATAATTTAGAAAGTAGATCTGCCAATACAGATGTGTGCATTGGTGACTAATGCTATGTTGCCATCAGTGTTGGTGATTTTTTTTCCAGTGATTGTGGACAACTGGTGATAAAGTTCTGAACAAAGAATAATCATGAATTTCAGGGTTGAAAAAGGATTTTTAAAGGTTATCTATACAAAGCATTATCTTTCAAAGCCAGTGCTTTTGCCAGGCCAAACTAATATCTATATTAAATTTCACTTTACTTACATTTCCATTTTGGCCTGTGGAAATCCTTTTGAATTCTGATTTTCTCTTATACATATTAGGTATGACTTACAGCTTTATGCCATATGAAAAGATAAAACTTCTCTCAATTATTAAAATAGTTGTCTTTTTTTTTTTTAAGGACAGCCCACAGAAACCATTAAAATACCAGTTGTAACCAATAGAAACTTCTTTTCATCACAGAAATGAAAATTGTATGTATTGTAGTTTAAAAACTATATATTTGTCTTATGGCAAATACTGCTTTCTCTTGATTTGATCTCTTCCATTGGTTCCTATATACATTCATTGCCTAACTTATTGGAAGAATGTTAGTCCTGTCCTGTGCAATACAGTAATGGCTAGCTACAGTAAATAGGCTGTTGAACAGATGAAATGTGGCTTGTGTTATTGAGGAACTGAATTTTAATTAAAATTTTATTTTTTATTTTTATTTTTTGAAAGATTTTATTTACTTATTTGACAGAGAGAGAGCACAAGCGGGGGGGGCGGTGAGAGAGGGAGAAGCAGGCTCCCCGCTGAGCAGGGATTCCCTGTGCAGGACTCGATCCTAGGACCCTGGGATCATGACCTGAGCCGAATGCAGACGCTTAACCTGCTGAACCACCCAGGTGCCCTGAATTTAAATTAAAATTTTAGTTTTAAAGACTGATACTCAAAGTCAGTTGTTGGATAATTTTCAAGTATGTTTGGAACAGCCTGGATTGGTGAATCTATAAAGTTTGTGAAATGTAAATATAGATCAAGTGTTTGCAAGGAAAATTAGCATCTGAATTGAGATTTGCTGTGTAATACACACTGGAT